TTCTACGTTCCATATACCCATAAGAGACTCCGACGTCGTGCGAGATATTCTCATTCATCGATGTCGCCGCCACCAATATCTGACTTCACACCAAAAGGATGAATTATCTCCGCTTCGCTCTCCGCTCTGCTCTCCGCAAGTTCGGTCGCTTGTTTGTTTGCATGCATCGCCGTGGCGATACTCTACTTGCTTGCTTGCTTACTTGCTTACTTGCTTACTTACTTGCTTACTAGAGTCGCCGCGGCGATAAGTCGTCGCGGCGATACTCTACTTGCTTGCTTGCTTGCTTGCTTACTTGCTTGTTTGTTTGTTTGCACCCATCGCCGCGACGACTTATCGCCGCGGCGACTCTCGTAAGCCTGGCCGTCCAAAAAATGGGGGGAGACTGCAAAAAATGGGGGGAGACTGCGGCGTCTGACCGAAGTAATGAACTGACTGACGAGGCCACGGCATTTTCCCCAACACGCCGCGCCGTCGGTCCGGCGAGTACCATGGCGGTTACCCCGGTTTTGATGTACTGTGGGGGAATTCCTGTATGGTGCTGCGCGTCTGTTGAGACGTACGGCGTTGTTGAGTACTGGTGCGAGTACTGGTGCCGCTGCTATGGCTGAGTTAGCTGAGTTTTTTAGTGGAATGGAATTGGAAACCTACTTCTTAACCACTGCACCACAGCTCCTAATTTGACGAGGGCCTATTTGACTATTTATTCGACTTTTTTCAAGAATTCCAAAAAAGGCCATATCACGTAGTTGCGCATTTTTGTTAAGGATCATATGTACGCAGGGTGTGAATATTACATATCGGGCAATACACCAAAAAAATAAGTCTTGGCAGGGTTTCCTACTCAGACCCACCTCAAGGCCGGTGGGGCCAAGCTGAGACTAGATTGAATTATCATTCTGCAGGACCGTGAGGAATCAATTCTCTGAGGTGAAAGACGTCGCGGTTGATGCGTTTGGCGGACGCTTGGCGAGCCATGCAACGGATACGATTGGCTTCAGGAGGGATCACGGTATCGGAATTTGATTTTGATCGGAGAGGGAGGAGAGTGTGGCGGAAGGGATCGCTATACTAAGGATCCCATTGGGATACAGCTTGGAGAGCACGGTGCGGTTACATGAGTTTGGGCACGTACTTACCGCACCTTAACGCTAACACCACGGTCAAAGTCGTTTCCTCATTGGACTGCTTGACTGACGTGACATCCAAGTTGCAGATGGGCGTGTTCCTTGCTTCTTTTTCGCGTCTTGACTCTTGCGTGATTTTGCCAAGTCATCCCCAGCGCGTAAATCAACGTCGATCAGAAACCCGAAATCGCCGAGAGGCTTCAATGGCCACTGGTGACTGGACAACTCTTTGATAAATACAAAATCATTCCTTGTATTCCTTTTATTCCTTTTCGCCCCTGGTTGCCATGACCATGTCGGCTCACACTCTTTTGCTCTTTTTTTGAAGTTGAAGCCTGTCGACCAAGGTGTGTGCAGAGCAATGAAGCAAAGACTCCACGTGGTCGTCACCACAATTATACGCAGGAATGTTTATTATGGTGCTGCCCGCAACCTCAGCAGCTGTGGCCATCCGAAGCCTCTCTCACACGCCTACTCCACCGCAAGGAAAACTCTTAGAACGTCCTCACTCGTCACCAAGTCAGCATGCGCAAGCGCTGCTATCCTGGCAGGTACAATAGCATTTTGCCTCATCAATGCCCCAATCGCTCATGCCGAAGTTCCTATTTCCCATACTCCGGAAAGGCGCAAGATACGGCTAGCGGAAGTACAGAAACACGGGCGCGATGCTGAGACAAAATGGGTCACCAGGGGCGCGCGGGTCTACGACATCACAGATTGGATTCCCGGTCACCCAGGTGGAGAAGTCATTCTGAGAGCCGTCGGCGGCCCCGTCGATCAATACTGGAGTATTTTCACGGTGCACATGAAGCAAGAAGTGTACGATATCCTTGAATCATACTACATTGGGGACATTGACCCCGGGGATCTGGTCGACGGGCAAGTGCCTGTCGAGGACCTTCATGATCCGTTTGAGAATGATCCCAGGCGGGATAAGAGGCTGCATGTTCACACTTCACGCCCCTGTAATGCCGAAACGCCTACGGAGGGACTGGGTGCTTTTGTCACCCCGAACGACATTTTCTACGTGAGGAACCACATGTGGGTACCATCCACCTCGGAATCTGACCACAAGATCGTCGTTGAGCTGCCCGACGGCGAAGAGAAGGAGTACAGCCTCAAAGACTTGAAGGATAACTTCGAATCTACGACAGTCACAGCTACACTGCAGTGCTCAGGCAACCGCCGCAAAAACATGACCCGGGAATCTCGCTCCACCAAGGGCCTCCAATGGAACGTAGGCGGTATATCCACTTCTGAATGGACGGGCGTCCGCCTGCGCGACGTCCTCGCTGATGCAGGCTTCCCTGTCGATGAGTACCCGGACGAGGTGCGCCATGCGCAATTCATGGGCGCCGAAGCGTACGGGGCCTCGATACCCATTGACAAAGCTGTAGATCGACGCGGCGATGTCCTGCTCGCGTACGAGATGAACGGGAAGCCGCTGCCGCCAGATCATGGCTATCCCCTCCGGGTTCTCGTACCGGGCACCGTCGCGGCACGTAGTGTGAAATGGGTCAATCGGATCGTTTTATCCGAGGACGAGTCTTCATCCGAGTGGCAGCAGAGAGATTACAAGTGCTTCGGGCCCAATGTAGGCGGCAACCCGGACTGGAGTACTGCGCCAGCTATCCAGGAGATACCGGTGCAGAGCGCCATCACTTCCCTTCGCGACCTCTCTCCCCACTCACAGGCCGATCGTCAGTACTTACGACTGCATGGACTAGAGGAAGATTCGGTCGCCGTGGAGGGTTACAGTTTCTCTGGTGGAGGGAGGAGGATCGTCCGCGTAGATGTCAGTGCCGATAACGGACGGACTTGGCATCAGGCGGAGCTCCTGTCGGACAAGGGGAAAGGTGCAAAGGCTTGGGCGTGGACGAGATGGCGATGGGTCGTCCCGCGGCAGCAGGCCGGGAGATGGTTCGTCGTCAAGGCCGTCGACGAGGCGTACAACACCCAACCAAGTGATTACGACTCGAATTATAACTTCCGAGGCCACCTGACGAGTTCGTGGCATCGCGTTGGATATCGGCCCCCGGATGTCTAGGTTGCGGGCGTGTGGGAACGGTTCCTGTTGCCTGCCTATGCGATGCGGAAGATACCATCTAGCGTTGTTCCAATCCGGTGGACTTCCAGTCACTAGGCCATCCGTCTCTCCTTTGACAACCGTTTCACCCATCCCCGTACCGCTATGCAACGTGAACCTCGACACGGGTTCGAAGTGCTCACCAGATCCTGACGAAGACCCTCTATCCTTGACCTTTCCAACCCACTCCAACAACCATCCGAACCCTCCATCCCCGTCTCCCTTCTTTCCCCACAAACCAGTCCGGGGAGTCGCCGGCCGGCAATATCAACCGGAGGCTGGACTCGATCGCCGCCACGAGGGCAAGCGGCGCTCTCCTCTCCGGGCGGCGACGAGCGAGCGAGCAAGCGTGGCGAAGGCGATCTCATTCGCCGATCGGCGAAAATGGAAGAAAAAGTGGTCATGAGCTCGGAAAAGATAATCTCTTCGACCCGGTTCACGGAGGTTTGGTAGGGTATAACACGAGTGATCGATGAACCTAAGCGGATGATGGATCGATCGATGGTGGGGAAAGTCGCGCGAGAAGAATGTCATCTGCGTATATAAAGGTCATGAATGCAGCCCGAGCCGTCGTAGACGATTGGCGGAACCCCGTCTTCGGATCGTTACTGGCCGACTCGCCTACCTACCTACCTACCCGGTGAGAAGCAGGATGTAGGGTTCTGGCGTCGAATCGATGCGATGGCGATCTGGCCGGTGAGCGTAACCCTGATGGGTAATGATGAGGCTGGAGAAGAGGAGCGTGGGAGCGGTGACTGGTGGAGAAGGTAGAGTGCCTGTGGATCTGGGGAAAGTGGCAGGCTGGGGGTTTTTTCTTTGGGTGGGGGGGAGGGAATGCGGTGGTGGATATGGATAGCTAGCTATTGTTGGAGACTGGGAATTAGGCATAGTACCCGTAGGTACTTTTGGGAAAGGGAAAAGGGATGTGGAAGAGGATTTTGAAGCTTTGATGGCCACAAACATCAGGAGCGTTGTCAGTGGCGGTGACGAATCCAGTCAAAGCCGCTGATGCTATCACCTCAGTCATCGCTTTTGATATCATAGTCGTCGTGGCCACCGCTCGTGACTTCAGTCCAGCCCCATCTCGAACCCATCCCTCGGATTCCTACCTCCACCCATCCCTCGACCCGTTCCGCCACTCCCGCCGCCGCCCCCGCCGTTCATCCTACCCTCCAACTCCTTCAACTCTCTCTCCCGCTCCCCCAACATCTTTATCCGCTCCTGTCTCACAACGGCGAGGACTCCTTCCAGACTCGTCCTCCACGTATCCAACCGCCCTTGCACCTCGGTCCATTGCTTCTCCCCAAACACGCGATACGTGCTCCGATGTATGAGGAAGGTTTGGTTGAGCTGGGATAGCTTACCCTCCACGAGCCCGGCGCGGATCACATCGATGACCCACATCTCTACATCCTCACTGGGGATCTGTAGGGCGCGGGCTATGTGCTGATATGGCAGACTCCGACTCTGTGTGCTCGCGGCCAGCGAAGCGAGCGTGAGCAGGCGCATTTTCCGGTGCAGAACCGCCGCATCAAGGGACGCATCGGACAAGAAGTCGTCGTGGGATTCGAGGAAGTCATTGTAGTCGTCCAGCAGCTCGGCGTTGAATATCTCAAGCAGTTCATACCATTCTGGTTCCGACTTGCGGAGCGCTTGGATCGGGTCGCTGGAGGTGAGGTCTTGAAAGTCGAAGTGCGAGGGATGGGACAGAGCGGCCTTGAGCGCACGGATCGCGAGGTTGTGGGAGTCTGGCGAGGAGACCTCGTCGACGGGGATGGCGCGTAGGGTTCGGAGTAGATAGAGATATGACTGTGCATCTTCGCCCGCCTCCGCGGCGACGTTGGCGATTTCGAGATACAATTTGCGTTGGTCTTCTTCGTCGGTCTCCCACGCTGCGATCCAGCTGTCGAGATTCTTGAGTTGCGGACGGAGGAGTTCGAAGGAGGAAGAGCTGCGGACGACGCGCAGGACTGCGAGGAAGACGTGGTAGCGGGTGTCATTCGTTGGGGGGAGGATGTTGAAGATCGTAGTCAGGATGGAAAGGGCGAGGCCGGGGCCATTGTTCGGGGAGGACTTTATGGGGGCGGAAAGGTTCTGGCAGATTTTGGGGAGGAATTTGTCGAGGTTCGGTGATTGGCGAACGAGGTGGATGAGGAGGTTGTAGGCTGCTATGAATTCTGTATCCTAATCTTTAGCACATGCCCTGAGATAAATGGTGCAGACAGGCAGCCCACCCTTCTCCGGAGCGGTATTCAGCACATCGCTGGCAGTGACGAGCTTTTTGAGCACTTCATCCTTCTGCCCCTTCTCCAACAGAGGCGTGATTTCTGCTTGAATGTTGGCGTTGTCCGGAGTTTGTTTCCTTTGGACCTCATCGACGTAATGTGCGAGCTCATCGGCAAGCTCCTCAAAGGAGCCTTCGATCAGCAGAGTATTCGTGGGGCCAGGCATATTGATGGCCGTAACAAAGTCGTAGTCGTGGATTTTGTGCGGGCACATTCACAAAATCTTGGCGTTTCCGGTGGCGCTAGCGAGTTGTAACATGAGCTGTCGACTCACAGTCGGCCACCATGAGGCCCAAATACTTCATGTATCTCCGTCTACTACAGGCAAAACACTTGAACATTTGTTGTCTGTCTTCCAAATTTGAGCTTACTTATATTACAAATGATTGATACAGTGAAGCGACCTCTTCCAGTCCTTCTCCAGTGACCGCCCTTACCATGTATGAGAAGCCCGAATCTCCTTTCCCTCCACTCGTATCTCAATTTAGTCTAGCACTCGCCCAGCAGTACTAGCTGTACTCCTATCCTTGGTTTGAACCTTCTTTAAACCTGTTCCCTTCTGAATGTCGCCCAGTAAGCCTCCTATACTCGGCTTTCCACCTGGCGGACCACTCGATATTCCAGGCGGTGGTGGCGGAGGCGCTGGTGGTGCACCTGTCATTCCAGGCGGTGGTGGTGGAGGCGGAGGTGCAGGCGGAGCGCCTGACGTCGGCATAGGCGGTGGTGGGGGTGGGGGTGCAGCTGGAGGTTCTCCGTCATCGAAACTTCCCGGCATGGGTGGGGGTGGCGGTGGAGACATGGCCGTAGCTGTACTTGGTGTTGGGGGTGTTGGGCTAGTTGGGCTTTCCATAGTCTTTTTATCATCCATAGCTGATAAGGGCCTGGGGGGTGCCATTGTGCCGAACAGCATGGAAGCGAGTTGTTTCGCGCTACCTCCTGTTGGTTTATTGGTATCCTCTTCGTCATCTGAGGACGAGGTAGAGTCAACAACGGACCATTCATCTTCTTCCGGACGAACTCGTGATGGGCGGTCGCCGGTCGGGGTAGAAGTGAGAGGTGGAGGAAGCGTTTGAGACTTTGCGGATTCCTGCTGTTGAGTCAAACGATGGAAAGGATTTGTGGATTCGGCAGCAGTGTTTGGTGAGGCAATGGATGGCGGCGTAGCGGCCGTTTCATTAGCTTGATTCATCTTTTTGAAGAATGGGTTCTTGGTATCTGCACCGTATGAAGATGATGACGACGGTGCTGGTGCTGGCGGTGAAAAGAGCTGGTGCCGCAGGAGGACTTTGGACGGGCGCTGGAGGTGGACTCATTGAAGCTTCGGCCTTGGCCGCAGGCGCAAATGGCGGTGATGAGCGATTAGACGCCTGGACACTACCTTCTCTTGAGAGCACCTGACTGTTCAATGGCGTAGTCTCTTGTGGCGTAATCTCTTGAGGTCCATCCTCGTCAGACGAATCTTCGTCGCCTAGGCTCTCCAATTGCAACTGTAGCTGCCGTTCCCGTTCCTTTGCAGCTTCCAGCTCTGCTCGCTGAGCTGCAAGCTTAGCTTCCTTCTCCTTTGCTTCTCTCTCCGCGGCTTGCTTCCTGCGCTTCTCCTCCTGCTTCTTAACTTTACCTTGCTTGACCTGCTCTTCTAGCGCTTTAAGACGAGCCTGCGAAGCTTCACGCTCTTGGGCCAGGTCATGTTCCTGTCGTTGAGCTTCGTTTCTGTACGCTCTATTAGCTTCTGCGTCGGTATCTTCACCCTTCATCGTGACTTACTCCATGCCCTTGGTCTCTGACTGTTGGACCCGCTGCTGATCTTTGATCGCTTGCTCCTTTCCTTGCTGCTCGGCTTCGGCCCTGAGGGCATCATCGTCTTGTTGCCGTTTGACTTCCTCACGCTGCGCGGCACTGTCTGCTCTACGGTTTCGCGTTGGTGGAGGAGGTGGCTTTTTGGAGGACTTGCTAATTTCTGGAGCAGACGGTTGCTCATCGGCAAGCCTACGTTGCCTCTCTTCTTCTCGCTTGGTATCCTCTGCCTCAGCTTGACGGACTCGTTCTTGACGTTCCTTGGCTTCGCGTTCTTGTCTCTGCTGGGCAGATTCACCAGACTTAGTTGGTGGTTTTAAGCCAAGAGCTGCAAGACGTTCGGCCATACGCTGCTCTGCCTGCTGCTTTATGAATGCGGCTCGATCTTCGCCGGTCTTGTAGGATGAGTAAGAGCCTGCAGAAGCAGAAGCAGCTGCTGGTCTTGAAGTTTCCCGAGACTCGGGCTTCCTGTCATGGCTGGTCGGTGTAAGGTCACGCGAGCTATCTTTACGAGAGGGACCTCGGCCATTTTCATCGGAACGAGTACTACCAGTACTAGAGGTTATCAGCAGAAGCCCAGCATCGTGCTAGGAAGAAGGACCCACTCTTCACTTCGTACTTTGGCACTACGACTACTCCTCTGCAAATCAAAGATGAAGTCTCTCACTTCATCCTCGACACCCAGGCCGTCCTCCCACCTCCGTCTTTCGTGCTCACTGCTCGCATCCTCACCATCCTGCATCAGAGTATCCTCAAGACCACGAGAAAAGTCTCGTACGCTGTCTTCCACATCTTTGATCATATTTTCATTATTCTCCCGTTCACTCTTAGCTTTTGAATTCTCCTCCTCCAAGCGTCTTGCAGCGGCACCGCTGTCATCTCCGCTGGCGGGAGCACCTTTACCTGTCAGAGCCGCAGAGCGTTGCTGCATCATTGCTTTCGCGCGCGCCTTGAGTCTATCTGCCTCTGTGACAGCCCCGCCGGGTCCAGTACCAACGATCGTGGAGGCGCTGCTGGGGTGGGCTTTTGCATCTTTCATACGGAATAATTCAATCTTGGCATCAGAAATGCTACGTTCTGTCTTTCTGACTTGAGACGCTAGTTCTGGGAGACGGTCTGTCAATCTCTGCAATTGGCGTTTCAAGGTCCTTCGTTCCGCGCTAGAATCAATGCTTCGCAGCGTTGCTTTGGGATGGCTATCGATGTCCTCTTGAATCCGCCGTATGCGTCGATAAAGGTCCTCGGCCTCTCGACGATCCCTTCGATCAAGAGCATCGTCTTCTTCCGCAGCGTTCTCATCCTTGAAGTCAATTGCGTCTAGCAATACCTGCTTTTCTCGGATCTTCTTACGCAGCTGTTCGATCGACAGATCATCACTTGATCTTTCGGAAGATGGTGATGTTGATTGAGCGGGTGAAGGAGTACGTCCATCACCACCAACCCTGCGGCGCGCACTCGATCTGTACCCGATATCATCATCGTTGTTTCGAAAGATGGTTGCATCCTTTCGTCCTGGCGTGATGCCGTTCGAATCGTTCCGGAATGAATGGTTCTTCAGATAGCTAACACCCGTTTTCTGCGGTTGAAGGAAGGAACCCGTACTTTTCCTGGTTTCGGCATCTTGTGAAAGTAGCGACTTGACAGTATCTATTGAATTCGTGAAGTTCCTTGTCGATGGAGGGACAAGCTCTGGTGGCAGCTGATTAGGCACGGGGTAGCCATTCAGCTTCCTGTAAATTAAATGCATAGCGACAGCGAACTCATCCATATCTAATCTTCCTTTATTACTAGGATCGGACAGAGTCCAAACCTTTTCGAGGTCGGCTTTAGGAAGTCCGCTTTGGCCCATGACCTCAATGGCAACATCGCCACCAATGAAGCCTTTGTTGAATCCATCCCAGGCCTTGAATAGCTGATCGTAAATCTTCTTCTCATCCTTGGTAACAGCCCACGGAACCGTAGCGCTTCCCGACAGTCCAGCCGTTGTATATCCTCCTTCACGGCCTGCTTGGGGCATCATACGCTGTTGTAGAGCATCAATATTTGGCAATCCTGAAGCCGGAGCGTTCACAAGCCCCCACTGCCCAGGGCGTCCCGTAGGCTGAGCATTAAGAGGCATTGACGGTTGGTTGCCAGTCTGCGCTGGAGAGAGATTCGAGCCATAACCCGTCGGCATTGGCGGCATGGGAGGCCTGGGACCCTGGTAACCCGTAGCTTGTGCGTTTTGCTGGTACCCTGTCTGCTGTTGCTGAAAGCTAGTCGGCTGTGGTGTGAAGCCGGTTTGCTGATTTCCAAAGCCCGTTGGTTGAGGTGGGATGTACTGCGCTGCGAAACCTGTTGGTTGAGATGCAATCTGCGACAGCAGCTGGCTGTTCGAAGCCTGAGGCTGAGGCTGCTGAATTACGGAGGCGGAACTTGCTGAGGTTGGAGCATTGAAATTGGGCGCATTGCTTCGAGGAGGCGCCACAGGACGATCGTCAGGCACGCCGAATGAAATGATATCCACCATACTAGAGACTTCGTTCATGATCTTTTCCGGCAAGCTTTGCGGTAATTCTTTTCCTACAAGCTTCAAATTGCAAAGGTACATGGCTAGAGCGAACTCCGGAAAGAGGAGCTGACCCGACTTCGTTGTATCCGAGAGAGTCCTAGAAATTGTCAATTGTTGGACACCAGGATCTCATGCACGTCGTACCATATCTTCATAAGATCAGTTCCGGGAAGTTTCGATCGGATCAGCAAGTCTTTGACCTTCTCGCCTATGTTTTTTTAGTTGTAGCAGCGACCTCTTCCTTGGCTGCTTACCATCTAAAGCTTGTCCATCACCTACTGCCGACTTGAATAGCTGTTCAAACTTCGCCTGATCCGTGGCGGTCAAATATGATAGCCGAATCTTGGGTATTTTTGTGCTTGATGCGGTAACTCGGGGCGCAGAAGGTTGCGATGCAGGCGTTGAGGAGAAAGACTGGGCTATTTGGGAGGAGGTTTGACCTGTCTTCTGCGGAGTAAATTGCTGCTGAGGAGGCTGTCCCGTCTGAAAAGACTGTTGTTGAGGAAGCTGGTTCTGGGAAGGCTGTTGGTTTTGCGTAGGGTATCCGGTGTACTGTGGCTGTTGTTGCGAAGCTTGGAAGCTTTGCTGCTGTCCCGGACCTGGGTAGCTTGTATGTTGAGGTTGGAGCTGAGCTGCACCAAAGCCAGTAGGCTGAGGCGCATTGTAGCCAAGCTGTTGAGTACTGTTTGGTTGCTGCTGGCCTTGCTGGGGGTAAGACTGTCCATACTGGGGAGGGGCTGGACGGGCGCTGTTGCCCCCTCCCAGGTAGGAACTTGATGCTGAATACATGAGTTATCGGTACAGACAAAGGAAAAAGATGTAGAGCTGGGATGTGAGGGAGTCTGAGACCATTATCTAAGCGTGAGGAACTGACGGTGTTTTGGAACTCTTGGGCGCTACTCCTACTCGGCTAACTTGCACGTATGGGATTTGCCTCTTCAGGGTGTCAGGCTGCCAAGTAACAACAAATAAGGTCGTCCAGCAGGCCAGGTGCCAGATAAACTGACAGTTGAAAGTGAACAATTCCTTAAGGCTCTGGTAAACTAAATTCAAGGAGCTTCTTGTGCTGTTTAACTTCCTTCCCGAAGCAGTTTGATCGTGCGGACAACACTATTCGAGGTTGATACCCAAATTTCCACTCCCATTCACACTATGAGTATTGAATCATGGCATGAATGTTTTCATGACAGCGTTTTGCTTCTGGTATCTGGTCTGATCTTATTCCAGGGTTCGGCTCCTAGCTTCATGCCGTTTTCCGCCAACGCCTGACGCCATCTTCGTCGCTATGCAAATTGCTGCGCCTTTTGTGAATCTGACCTATCATTTCCCCGCCCTTTTATCGTCCTTCTTCTCATCCGCCTTAGCTCCGTCCCCTACCATTTTCCTCAATTCGAATTCTTTGGTGAACTCGCGGCTTAGAATGCTCAGGTCGTTGACCAGATCTTTGCAGCATTGCATTAGAGCGGCGCGGGGGCTGAGGGTGCCATCAGTCTGAACTCGGAGTTCAAATTTACTTATGAGGCGAGGAGTGTTAGCAGAGAGTTTCAGGCACCCGGAAGATTTGCGTGGGAAATGGCTTTACCTGACAAGTGGATGAGGCACTTTGTAGCCGGCAAATTTGACGTGTGGCGATTGTAGAAGTCGCGAGCGGAGAAGATTACCGAGAGTATGATCTTCCTTGTTGAAAGTGAAGATCGATGATGAGGGAATACCTGAGTGGACGAAGCATCATATGTTAGCAAAGGGAAGGAACGCTCTGCAAAGTTGTCTAGGGATGTAATATGGAGAAAGATCTGGGGAATCGATTGTGAGGTATGGAGATGGTCTGGAAATCGAACTCACGTGTATCTGCCTCTTCGGTGACCTTCTTCTCGCCGTCACCTAATAGAAAAAGTTCGAACCTAGGCTGCGTGTTATCCTCTGCTGTAGGTCTTGACTCGCGTCTGTAGCCTGCGTTGCCTGCGTTGGGATTCATGCTTGACATGTGCAATGAAGCTGACCTCATATGCGAGTGTACAGATGTGTGCTGGGTAGTGCTTAAGTTTGTAGTGTATGGACGAGTCACATAGTCACTCGTAGGAGCAATGTAGTCGGCCGAAAATGTAGGGCTTAGGCCACCACGAGAGTGTTGAGATGCCATGACTCAGGTCATAAGGCACGTGATCGATAGATATGTGAGGAAAATGCGTGAAGATCAAGCAAAATCAGAGGAAGGACTGGAAAGTGAATTTGAGTGCACAAAGTGAATGATGCATCAAAGCTAACGCACTTGGATGATGGCGACTAATCGTATACATGCCATAACATGTTGTGAGTTGGGTGGCCTATGAAGACTTGCCAACCATAGTTCCCATTACGAATTTGACATTTTTGGAATTTTAAAGGCCTGCATGGCCATCTTGATGTTCTTTACGACTGCGACAAGATGCCAAATCATATGGAGAACTACATTCAAAAGCAGACATACCTGTCTGGGGCATTCGCCATTTTCCCAAGTCCTGTCTCCTTGAATACTGCTGAGTCTCTTGCTGTCTGTAGTTGAACCCAAACTTGTACAACACTTTTCCTGCTTCACAATGCCTTGCACTGCAGGAAATTTTCTCGTGAGGCTTTCTTCGATATATTGGTTGTGTAGATTTGTAACTAAGAGCAATTTAAGCAAAATAAAATATGCGATACTATTGAAGATGGTAAGAGGTACAACTGCTTTCGACAACCATTGCGCCAAGACGTAGACTAGGGAGGTTTGATTGGTGCTCGCAGCGGAATGGACCGCACTCAGTCGTTCTTCTGCCACCCCTGCCAATTTATGAGTTGCAAAACCAACGAGATTGCTTGGCAAAATTGATTGCGCGCCATCTCTATTTTTTTGATAGCCAGCCCCACCAAACGTACTTCTCAACAATTACACCAGTCTCTACGGAGGTCGGCACCAAAAGTCCTGGACATGCCAAGACAAGGGTCCAGGTAGGGCTGAGTGCTTGGCATACTTCCAAATTTCATGGATAGCATCATTATTCTTTATTTTAATGAGTACCAGTGCTCTATATAATAGCGACGTAGTATATATATAATATATGCTGGGGCGCGGGCTACCCAGTAGTGAAAAGCTAGCCAAGCATTATGGGAACACTGAGAACATCGCTATAATTGAATATATTTACGGTACTACATTTAATTAATTCTCCGAATCCTCTCTATAACGATATCTAAGAAATAGATTATATCGTCGATTAATTTTAGAATATATAAGATTCTCTATAATCTTATAATCACCGTATCGAATTATAATAGATATCGTCGAGTAGATATATATATTATAATTAAATATTAATCGTTCTAAGAAGGTCAAACGAGACTCGCTCTGTACCTAATAGTATATATCCTCAAGAGCGTCAAATAACTGCTGCTCGTCATATATCCCGTTGTCGTCCTCGTCGTTGTCGTTCTCGTTGTTCTTATCTTTACTCGTAGTAACGATATCGATAATATCGTTACATAGCTTTAGAACAGTGTTATGTTCGTAGAGAATCCGAGCATTTTCTAACTAGTCTACCGTACCTCGAAGCTCTCTATCTCGCTATTTTTATTGAATATAAATAAGATTCTTATAGTCTTCTTAAGTGAGGAGACTATAATCTCGATGTAAATCTTATACGTTAAAGATTAAACGTTATATAAGATCTTAATAGCGAAATTTAAGATTATTATATCGATGAGAAGAATTAGAGAGATATATAGTAGACGATTTATTAAAGCCTTCGAATATATATTAAAAAGATTTATAAGATATTATAGACTAAGATTAATAGCGTATTATTATATTATAGAGTATAAGATATTATAAACTAAGGTTAATAGTATATTATTATATTATAGAGTATAAGATCTCGACGTTATTATAGATTTTATTAATTTCTTTAAAATTATAGCTAATTTTAAAAGCGTAATTAAGAGAGAGTATACTTATTTTTCTATTATTAACGCTTTTTTTAATAACGATATATAGTATATATAATAGTAGAAGAAGAGGTACTATAATCGAAAAGAGTTAACTAAGATATAATTTATAGAGATAGAATTCTTTTAGAGAAGAAATAGAGAGAGACGGAGATAAAGTTAAGATTATTAATAAAATTTAATATTCGTAGCTAAGAAATTTAGTTACTTCTCGAATAAGTATCTAGCTTTCTCGATTTAGATCTTAATAGTACTTTTTAAAACTTGTCGATAGGAAGAAAGCTAGCTTTTTAATAAAGTATATATATACGAAGTATAAATCTACGAAGTATATATATAATAGCGATATTAATAGAATATATAATAGTAATAATAGTAATAATATTAAAGTATTAATTATAGCGTAAAGAAATAGAGAAAGAGTATAAAGACTTTTAATATATAAGTCTTATTTATATAATAATATGTGCTAGGACGCGGGCTTTTTAATAGTGAAAAGCTTATCGAGTAATGTTTATAATTGGATAATGAGAATAACTAGGCTTTAAGAATCTTAATATACTAACATTAGCGTATAGAGATAATTCGTTAAATTTAATAGAGTTATTACTAGTATTCTTTATATTAAAGCTACTACTAGCTATCTTTCTTCGCTATTTTAGTTTATAAACTATATGTAATATAGTAAAATAATAATATATTTATTTATATAGTAGTCTTTAGATAGATTTATATAATAGTTAATTAAGTTAATTAAGTCTCTTAAAGAATAAATTACTTAATATAGAGAGCGGGATAGATATTTAAACTTTATTATTTTATAGAAAGACCCTTATTAATAAATCTATATTATATACGATTAGACTACTAAATTTTATATATATTTATTAAGATTCTTAAAGCTTAGTTATTCTCGTTATTCGATTATAAATATTATTAATTTTTAACTAATTTTAATTCTTAGAAAGATCCTCTAAAACTTCTCAGATCCTTCGAGAACTCTTTAAGAGCTCTTTAAGAGCTTTTATCGAGAGGCTATTAAAGTAAACTTAAAATCTAATTATTTTAATAATATTTAATTAATTTTATATTTACTTTAATAGTTTCTTAATAGAAGCTCTCGAAGAGCCCTTAAAGAGTTTCGAAGAGTTTAAAAAATTTTAAAAGATTTAACTCTGAGAATCGAGAGAGACGTCGAGAGAGACGTTATAATTTATTTAATATACTTAAGAAAAGACTCTCTAAAACCCCTCTAATCGTAGTTCGACTATTCGCTTCGCTTATAGTAGTTTATAACTTAAAGACGTACTAGTCTCAAAGACGCGTTTTTTCGCGATTTAATACTCTATATTATAATTTACTATTATTTTACTATATTATATCTATATCTTATTCTAAGTAAGAGAAACTTATCTAGAAGACTATTAATAAGTATAAGAATAATTATTTTCGCAGCGCTATAGCGGCCGTAGAGTATTATAGTCTTAAACCGCGATAAGTATAAAGATAACTTCGAGAATAAGCTTTTAAAAGTACTTGAATACTTATCTATATATATCTTATTATAACTTAAGAATAATCGCTATATAACTATATTAATCGTTTAAATAATATCGAGTATTTATTTCGATTAAATTATATTTAGAGTACTACTAAGTATATTTTAAAAATCGCTTTAAATTTATATTATTTCTCTAAATTACTTAATAAAGATTAGACTATATAATTTATAAAATAATATCTTAAATATTATAAATAAAAGTAAAAATCTCTTAATATCGAGCGTAAGAATATATATAATATTAAGAGTATACGTATAGCGTATAAGAAATTTCGATAGAGCTATAAAGAGAAAGGTATATAATATTAGAATATTTAAAATATAAATAAGACTAGCTTTTAAATTAACTATAAAATCGTTTATTATATTATTATTTTAAATAAAAGTAAGTCTCTATAATTCGTAGATCTAGATAATTGTAATTATATTACGTTTATAGAATATATTAACGCCGAAGATTAAAGTATATCTTTATTCGTAATTCTAAAAGATACTTATATTCTATATAAATAAGATAAAAATAACTTATCTTCGAATACTATATTAGCTATTTTATCTATTAGATATTTAAATAACTAATTAATATATAACTAGCTATTATATTTTTATATATTTTCTTATTATCATTAAGTAAAAGAATAGAAGATCTTAATTCTAGACGACTTCGAATTCTATTATATTTATAAATTTTATATATTTATCTAATAATTAAAGATCGACTTATTTATATTTCTCTTATATTCTATATATATTATATAGCTATTAAATATAGAATACTTTTAATTATTTAAATATTATTATACGAAGATTATAAATTCGATTATATATCTTAAAGATAGCGATTTTAATAGACTTAACTTTCTTATAATATTTAATTAAATAAAAACTTAAATCTTTATACTTAATATTATATATTTAATCTTTTAAAAAACTAATTTTATATCTTATAATTCTAAAGTAATATTTACTAATCGGAAAGGTATAATATATTCTATAAAATATTTCATATCAAGTAATATTATATCGTATCCGAATATAATATAAATAGGGTCGGATATACTGGCCGGAAAGGTATGGTATATCCCATGGGATATTCCATACCAAGTGATACCACACCATACCCGGGTATGGTGTGGGCAGGGTCGGATACCATACCATTTTTCTGGTATGGGTTCGGGATCTTGGCGGGATATCCCACGGTATGGTATATCTGTGGTATTATACCATGGAATGGTATATGTATGGGATATCCCGACTGGGATTTCTATATTTAGAAGTATAAGTAGCTATTCTAGTCATCATTCTGGTCAACCATGGCTGCCACTACCATGGCTGCCACTACCATGGCTGCCACTACCATGGCTGCCACTACCATGGCTGCCACTACCATGGCTACCTACCATGGCTACCACTCACTACCATGGCTACCTATCATGGCTGCCCCCTACCATGGCTATGGCTACCTATCATGGCTACCCCCTATCATGGCTACCCTTACCATGGCTACTACATGATAGTAGGCTATTTCAATAATAAATAGTGATAGCTATGATAGTGGTAGCCATAGTAGTGATAGCTGTTAAAATGTCAGGTATGTGATATATAGAACGGACGGATCAATTCTCTAAAACCTCTCCGGGGCCAGGTCCTAAATATAGTATAAAATCAGGTGGCTGAAAAACATGGTGGCTGGGATGCGCGGGAGCTATATTTCGATGGTAGGCATAGTAGTGGTAGCCATGATAGTGGCAGCCATGATAGTGGCAGCCATAGTAGGTAGCCATGATAGTGGTAGCCATGGTAGTGGCAGCCATGGTAGTGGCAGCCATGGTAGTGGCAGCCATGGTTGACCAGAATGATGACTAGAATAGCTACTTATACTTCTAAATATAGAAATCCCAGTCGGGATATCCCATACATATACCATTCCATGGTATAATACCACAGATATACCATACCGTGGGATATCCCGCCAAGATCCCATACCATACCAGGTATGGGATCATGCAAATCTCAATAACCCATACCATACCAGAGTATGGTATGGCAGGTCAATATCCCATACCATACCATACCTTTCCGGCCAGTAGTCGGATACTATACCATTTTTCTAATATGAATTCGAAATCTTAGCGGGATATTCTACGATATAATATATTTATAATATTATATTATAAAATAATATATATATAAGATATCTCGATTGAGATTTCTATATTTATAGAATAATTCGATTAAGATATATAGAATATATTTATTCTTCTTTATTAAGAGAGAGGAAATATAAAGAGTAATCTAATATAGCTATTTATCTTCTTATTAATAGTAATAATTAAAATAATAATTAGAACTATAAGCGTCTCTATTCTTCTTCTTAAAATTATAATATAAAAGAATATTCTAAATTTTAAATCTTTAAATATTATAAGAATAAAATTCTATAATTATCTTTATTTATATATTTATCTTAACGCGTTAAATAAGCTTAATAAACTTTATATTTATTCTTCTTTTAAATCCTCCATCACTCTTCTATTCTACTCTACCGCGATTCTTTTAAGTATCTTAAATTTATCTTTATCTAATTAAACTTATTAATTATTTATAGATAAATTCGCTTTTTAAATTATCTTAGATCTCTTTATTAAGATTAAATCTATTATTATTAATTCTCTCTAATTATAAGCTCGTTAATTATTTCTCTATATATTATAGAGTATTAATAATATATCTTAATAAATTTATAAATATTAAATTTATCAAAATACTTTTTATAAGCTTATTATCTTTATTAATATAATTATTATAAATATTAATTAAGTTTTTATATAAAGTATTATTAACTCTTTTAATTTAATTCGATATATTAAGATCTTCTTTAAGATTAAATCTAGTCTATTTAAGCTCGTTTTCTTAATATTTTATATAAAAAATTATTATTAGAGTATAGAATATCGCTAATAAATAATATTTTTAAGTACTATAATATCTTTTAGTTATTAAAAAATATCACTTATACGTAATAGCCCTCGCGAGAGAATAAAGAATATTACGAGCTATTCGAGTAACTATAATATATTTAGACTCTAATTTCTTTTATTATTCTAGAATTAAAAGATTCGCTAGATTATTAAAAAAAGCTTTATAAAAATTAGAGATAAGATTATAACTAGAATAATAATTAGAAGACTTATTATTTCGTTTATACTACTAAAGCTAATTATATTTATTCTTATTATTTAAATTTTTAATCTCGAATTTTATTACTTAATTAAGCGTATTTTTATTTAATTAATTTATTCGCTTAACTCTTTATAATTAACTACTTATATTAATATTTTAATAATTTTAAAATATTCTTTTAAGCGCTTTCTAGTAGATCTTCGCTTATAACTTCTTTTTAATATTAATCTTTTAATTCGATTTCTTTAACTTTATATTATTATAACTTAAATATAGAAATATAACTTATTTATATAAATAGCTTAAATTTAATTAAGTTCGACTATAATAGATAATTAATTTCTTATAAGCCGTCTTAAGAGTTTTAAGAAATTCTTTTTTTTTAGAAATTCTCTTTCTTTTTAATTTTTCAAGCTTTTTATTTATATAGTTAAATAAATAATTATAAATATTAAAGATATAATAAATTATAATCTTCTTTCCTCTACTTATTAACTTTATAAATTTATAAAAAGATTTAATAAACTAAATTAAATATTAAATTTATTAGAAATTAATTAAAAATTATTTAAACGTCTAGATTATAATTTCTATTTATAATTATTTTTTATTATTTAATCTTAAATAAGTAGTTAATCTATTTTTTAAGAAGTGTATAATATCGATATAAAGAAGTAAAACGCGAATTAATATCTAATAAATTAAATCTTAATAAGTCTTAATATTCTAAAAGAGCTTAAAAAGATATTTCTAATAATATTACTTCTTTTTAGAAAATTAATATTTATCTAATATTAAAACGTTTTTATCTTAAAGTTATTTAGCTTATAATATAAAAAAGACTTCTTTATATTAATCGCTAGTATTAATATATATAATAATTTTTTAAATCTTAATATAATTAATAATATAATAATTAGAATAATAATAAGAAATATTATATTTTTATTAGAGTTATCGATAAATTAACTATACTTATTTAAACTTAATTCTTATCTTCTTTATTACTCTAGCTTCTCTAAAATTTCTTATTTATTAAAATAACTCTAATATTATCTAAAAGTTCTTTTAAGATTAATTAAATAATATACGCTATATAGAGAATATATTATAAATAATTTAAAAACTTAAATTCTCTAATATTAAGCGAGTTATTTACTATAGAAATAGAAAGATAAATAATTAAATCTTCGAAGAGTATATTATTATTACTAATATTATTAGTTATAAATTTAAATATATAAAATTAAATCTTATATTCTATAAGAATTAAATTAATAATACTTATAAGTTTCTAATTAGTATATTTATCTTCGATATATTTAAAATTTATAAGAATCTTATATTATTACTAGTTAATATTAATAAAAAAGATTAGAATTATTATAAATAATTAATAATTATAAGATAATTAATAATTTAGAGTTAGAGAGACTTTAGTATTATTAATTAATAAATTCTTTAATAATTTTATCTCTAGCTTTATAGCTTTTCTTATTAATTAATTCTTTATAATAAATATTAATTTTAATTATATATTAGAGTTAAGATAGTATAAGAGTTATAATATTTTAGAATTATTAATAATTATAAATAAAATATTAATATTTATAATTTAGCGATAAAATTATTCTAAGAAGTCTTTATATATAAGCTTTTAGTCTTCTAATATTATAAGAGAATTTTAATATTATTTTTTCTAGAGTAAATAGTAAGCTAGATATTCTATTTATTATTTTATTTATTAATAATCTATATCGTCTAATTTAGAAATATATCTAATTTTTATAATTATTAATTAAATTCGTTTATTATAAATTATTTAAATTAGATTTCTTAATATATTTCTTAAACTTAATATATACTATTATATCGCTTATTTTATAATCTATAAATAAGTAAATTAGAATTTTATCGTAGTAATAATAAATAATATATAACTCCCCGAAATCGACGAGCGTATATTCGTTAAATTATATTTATTTCTAGAATTTTCTAATTTCTAAGCTCTAATAAATAGACTAATAATCGCTATTAGATTTAAATTAATTCTATATAATTTATACTATCTTTATCTATTACTATATTTATTATTTTTTATTATTAATATTAAAAAGAAAGTAAGATTTATTATTATCTTTATATCGAAATATATTTATTAATATCTTATATTAAGTATTATTAGTTAAAAAAGTCGAGCTTACGCTAAATAAAGATCTAATTAATATCTTAAGATTAAGATATTTAAAGAGAAATTAAAAGAGATATATAAATAAATAAAATATTAGAAATAAAATAAGATTAATATTTAATATATAAATTCTATCTTCTTACTATAATAGAAACTTATATCGCTTTAATAATATATTATTATATTATTTTTAATATTTTAAATTAAAGATTAATTTTTTCTAATTAGCGTTATAATTAGCGGCTATATATTTAAAAGTATATAATAATATTAATATAAAATTAATATTTAACTTAATTAATTTAAAACTCTAATTAGTTTAGCTATTAACGCTTTTCTACTTAATATAATATATACTTAATTCGCTTTAATACTACTTATTCGTTATTATATTATTTTAAATATTAAAATTAGAAATTATATCTTTTTAATTAATATTCTAGTCGCTAGCTATATTAATAAGAGTATATATTAATATCTTAAAACTATTAAATAAATTTTATTAGATATTAATATAAAATTAAAATTTAATTTAAACGCTTTAATAATTTAATTAGCTAAATTAATTACTATCTAAATCTTCTATATATAAAAATTAAATCTTTTATCGCGCTAAGACTATTTTTAAGCTTTAAAATTTTTCTTATTAATATAGCTCTCTTCTATTTAAGTAATATTATAATATCTTTTATTTAAATATTAAAATATTAAAGTATTATATTCTTCGCTTTTAATTAAGTAATATTATCTTTAAGCTAATATCTTTAATCTTATAAAAATAATAATTAGTTCGTTATAGACGAAGGCGAAAAAGAAATAATATCTCTTTCTATCTTTAAAATAAAAGAAGAGAAGAAAATAAATAGATTAATCGTAAGCTATAAACGACTCGACGTCTAAGAATAATAAATTAATAAAGTTATAATATTAAAATAAAGAGCTTTTTTTATAATTAATAAATATAAGATTAAATAGAAATTAATTAGATTAATAAGATTATCTTTAATAAGTATATCGCGTATATAAAGAATATCGAAATATATAGAATATATATAAAATATAAGAGGAGGCGTATATATATAGCTGTAAATATCTAAAGTATATTTGAAATATAGAAAAAAGCGCTTATATATAACTCTA